AGGTTTCCCCCCCCCCCCCTTCAATCAAGAATTACTTGTCAGTCCTGGACCATATTAGTCTGGAACTGACCTGAGTGTAGTTCATGTATTCATTTACAGGTATTTATACAGTACCAACAATTTGCACAGTGCATTACATACTGCACATTAACATCAGTCCCTGCCCCCAAGGAGCTTACAATCAAAGGTCTCTATCTCACATGCATAAATACAGGGCCAATTTAGACAGGAGCCAATTAACATACCAGCATGTCTTTGGAGTATGGGAGGAAACCCACACAAGCACAGGGAGAACATGCAAACTCCTTGCAGATAGTGATCTGACTGGGACCAGGGACCCCCAGTGCTGCACGGCCAAAGTGCTGGACACTAAGCCCCGGTTCCTTAGACAAGCAGGCGTTTTCTTTGTTTTATGATATAGGCTTGTTCTACAAATCCCTCCTGCATTGAAGCTGTGTTTTTTTCTGGGATTGTTCTTCCATATATGTATATTACATACATATCATCCATAGGTATATTGAAATATATATTGTAATAAGTACCTTGATAAAATTAGCATTGATAAAATCTGTATCTTCATCAGATGTTATCAGAGAGAGTTTCACACGACTATGGTCAACTGGAATACAAAAATAGGCAGAGATATGTGAGCAGAACGTGCCAGAACATTTGCTTTCATTTCACAGTGCTGGTTTTTGGTGCATGATGCATGTCTTGAAAATAATATACAGCAAATATATAACATTTGTATAGAATATGTGCCTCGTTTGTGTCAGATACTTGGCGTATGTATGTAACAAATACCTAATAACATTTCTTTGTCAATTATGGATGTCCCTCCATAAAGAACAAAGGACAAAAATACATTTTCAAAGCCACTGACATTAGGAGTCATTGGGATCTTGACCTTGTACACTGCACCAGATTTGTACAGAAAAAAAGTACATAAACTGAATTTTAAAGCATAGGTAAAGCCAAATCTTAGAGTAGCGAAAGGTTATACAACCCCTGTCAGGTAATTTTTGGTTGCCGGTGTCCTGCTGGGGAGATTTCCCATCACTTCCCGTGCAGGAAACAGGAAAAAGTGAAGGAAATTCATATCTTAGAGATTTGTGATCAGAACAGGTGTCCCAATTTGAGGACTTTCTAGACAGAAAGTCCTCAAATTGGGGCACCTGTTCTGATTGACAATAGTCACCATGAGAAATAGAGGGATGAATCTCCCCAATGGGGACACAGGCTACAATTAAAATTGACAAGGATTTAAACCTCCCCTTCAGTATTCAAGAATAAAATGCCTGAGGTCTGCAGGGCATTGGTGCTGCTGGCATGAGGTCTGCAGGGCATTGGTGCTGCTGGCTTGAGGTCTGCAGGGCATTGGTGCTGCTGGCCTGAGGTCTGCAGGGCATTGGTGCTGCTGGCCTGAGGTCTGCAGGGCATTGGTGCTGCTGGCCTGAGGTCTGCAGGGCATTGGTGCTGCTGGCCTGAGGCCTGTGGGGCATTGGTGCTGCTGCTCTGAGGTGTGCAAAGCATTGGTGCTGCTGGCCTGAGGTCTGCAGGGCATTGGTGCTGCTGGCCTGAGGTCTGCAGGGCATTGGTGCTGCTGGCCTGAGGTCTGCAGGGCATTGGTGCTGCTGGCCTGAGGTCTGCAGGGCATTGGTGCTGCTGGCCTGAGGTCTGCAGGGCATTGGTGCTGCTGGCCTGAGGTCTGCAGGGCATTGGTGATGATGGCCTGAAGTCTGCAGGGCACTGGTGGTGCTCTGAGATCTGGCATTCAAAGTATGCATTGGTGCTGGTCTGAGGTCAGCTGACAGTAACATCCTACAGGCCAGAGATAGCACAACTGAACCATGAAATAAAGACACAGGGATCACACTAAAAAAGTCCACTTTACTTTTCAGCACATGTAAATATGAACATGTTTTGTGTGTGCACCAGTTATTAAATGTTTTCCCTTATAGTTGTGCTGCTACTGGCGGAGTAAACACATTAAAATAATTAGTGAGTTTAACTTACTATTGGCAGTACAGCTAGGAGTGAAAAAAATTAACTGCAACTAACACTACAGCGTGCTATTGTTCACTGGCACTCGGTTGTCTCATGGTTTCAAAAATGGCACTTGGTGTGTAAAAAGTTGCTGACACCTGATATAGAGGGTTGTATATATGAATATAACATGTATGCATTGCAGTGATCCAGCTTTAAAGTGACACTAAATTTGGGAGTGAAGTCTTAAAAATGCATTCAAGTATCTCAACTATTAACAAAAATGTATCTTATTTATGTATCACTCAACAATAGATCCTCAAATCATCTCTGAATTGGTGCTGACACTGTCCTTCCTTCTGGAGGGTGGCTACTTTTGTTCCCCATGGTCCCTGTGTGTGTTGTGTGCTACAAGCTCACTCCTGTGATGGACTACAATCTTATTACAAATTAGGAAAATGAAACATGGGATTATAGTTCATGCATTTTTAAGATTTAACTCTTGAGTTTAGCATCATGACCTACAATTAATGGTAAGTCAGCAGAAAGATGCATACAGCAGTCTTAATCAATGCAAGATTCATGAAAAGGTCACCATAATTAAGCATGCTGATAATTGTGGCATGGTTACAGCTGAAAGAAGTTAACATTGAAATCCACCATTTGCTTGAAAGCCATTCATGCAGTAACAGTGGGACCTTCTCTGGCAATCTGTTACCAAGTTTTCCCACGACTGGAAGTGGCAATTACAGATTTCTCCTACAGCACCACCTGTTGATGAAACTGGGTGATGTAAGAATTGTTGCATGTCAATACACTGAGCAACAGCAGGATAGATGTAGAAATTTTCCATTTCCATTTTTTTTTAAATTTATCTCAAGATTTTATAAAATTAAAATTGTAAAGTCAAAACAAAACCAACATGTATGTCATTTTAAATAATAATGTTTTTTGATGTGACAGGGTTCTTCCACTCACATGGAAGGATGTCTTTATAGCGATTCTTCTTGAAGTTCTCAGCACTTTCCGCAGCCTTGGTGGTATAATTGCTATCTGACTTGTGCTTTGCAGATTGTCTTTTCAGATTCTGTTGTAAAGTAAAAACATTGTTAGCTATGTCGTGACATTGCAATAGATATGCATAGCTCCAGATTAATGAAATTAATTAAGTTGAGGTTTTGTTTTAAAAGGAGGCATTGATGAAATACTTCCAGTCATCTCATTACATTTCAGCATTTAATTAGCAGTTATCTGCAGTTATTGAAATATTCTTAAAGCGTGATGCTCTTTTCTTTTACTATATCTATATTGACAGTACTGCTAATGCAAAAGAACAAGGTAAATGCAGAGTTGGCTATTAAAGAACTGTGTTTTGGTTTTTCTAGGGTAGACCTACTTAGTTATTTAATTATGAAATGGATATATATCGATCTATATATATACACAAACTGAGTGGCCAGATTATTATGACCACCTGACGTTTGTAGGCAAATTAGCTATAATTTTGCGCTGAAGTTGCTAGAGGGCCAGACCATTATAAATAGGGAAGCAGGTTGTTTACCACGACAGTAGAAGTGATTTCTTTTCTGGAGATATGGGTAAATAACGCAATTTAACAGCCTTTGAACGTGGGATGATTGTTGGCGCTCAGAGCCATGGAGCGAGTATCAGCAAAACAGCAGAATTTGTTAAATGTTCAAGAGCAGCTGTTTAAAGACTCGACTGTCAGCCAAAAATCTGGGTCTGAACGTGCAAATTGTGGCTGTCAGCGACTAGTCAATGTTAGGGCAGAATGGAGAGTGGCAAGACTGGTACAAGACAACAGAAGGGCAACAGTGCATCAAATTACTGCAGATCTTAATCAGGGTCCCTCTCAAATGATCTCTGAACGCACTGTTCGCCGTACACTGCATCGTATGGGATATGGAACCCGAAGGCCTGTTCGAACACCTTTGCTGTCTGCAGTTAACAAGATAAAACGTCTCCAATCCGCACAGGAACATAAGGATTGGACAGTCGAGCATTGGAAAAAAGTCATGTGGTCCGATGAATCAATTGAGCATTTGTGGGACGAAGTTGAAAGAGCCATCAGGCAGCTGGTTCCACAACCATCAAATCTCACAGAGCTGGACAGTGCTATTCATCAGGCATGGTGTCAGATTCCTCGCATCACCTTTCAACATCTCGTGGAGTCAATGCCAAGAAGAATCGCCGCAGTATTGAAGGCAAAAGGTGGCCCAACGAAGTACTCATGGGGTGGTCATAATAATCTGGCCACTCAGTGTATATATATACTGATGGTTTGTCCACATCATATTTAATTCTGCTGACACCTTAAAACTCCAATTTTTCTACTGCTTAGAAATCTTTTTTAAAACACGTGTTGTTGCAATGTATTGCATTATATTATTGACTGTTTATTTGTGCTCTTGGCATGTTCCCTTGTTTCTTCTCCTTTTTTGTGCCAGTCAGTACGGTTCCTAGCTAAACACTCCCTGCTCCCTTATGCTTGTCCAGTTTGATTTCCCTTTCATCAGAGAGATAGGGCTTAGAAAAAAAGACTGAAAAAAAAAGGGACCACAACCCGAACAAAGGGAAATATACACCTCTCCCAGGACCCATCTTCTGGCATCCTGTACATACCCCCCCCCCCCCCCCCT